TAAAAGAGAAGTTAAAATCCAATATAAGTCACACTTAACTTTTAAAAATAAGTTAAATTTAGACTTTACATAAACTCACCTAACTTTATTTATTTATATTTCTATATAAATTTATTAATTCAATTTATACATAAGTCTAAGAAGATTTAATTATTAATAAAAACATATTAATAATGTGATGAAAAGTATATTTATAAATATTTTTTATCATTAGAATTTAAAAAAACCCTACACTGTTAAATCAACCAAATTGGTAGGGGTAATAAAAAGGATTTGCACTTTATATACTTAACTTAAACAAAAACCTGTGTTATGTTAAGTGAAGGAATTTAAATAACTGTTAATTTTTTGTACACTGTTAAATTAAAATAAAATTTCTAAAAAAATTGTTTTTAAAATTTATAAATTATACATATATTTTAATGATTAATAATACATATTTTATTATATTAAATAAAACTAAAATAAAAAATAAATTTTTATATTAAAATTAAAATTATATATTTTAAAAAAATTAAAATCAATTAAAATATTCAATGCATACAAAATCATATAGCATGTTAACTATAAAAATAAAAACTTTAATTATTTTTGAATTATTATGTCCTTCAAAAAAGGAGGACAAGAGAAATTATAAGAAACCGATAATCTCATGCTAATAACACGAAGGTCACAGGTTCGAGACATGTGTGGGCTATTAATTTTTCTGGTTAAGTTTGTGACAAAAATAAATGTGCGAAGGTATAACAAGAGGTGTTTTGTGTTAAAATTTGATTATGAGAAGGCGTATGATTCGGTAGAGTAGGGATATCTTTTGTTTATGTTACGTAGCTTTGGATTTTCAGACAAATGGGTCAGTTGGATGGAAGCTTGTGTGTGTGGGGGGGGGGGGAGAAGCCTATCAGCTTTGATTAATGGTTGTCCTACATTGGAGGTTCATATTGAGCGGGGCCTAAAACAGGGGATCCTCTTGCCCCTTTTCTTTTTCTTGTGGCAGCGAAAGAGTTAGGAGTTCTTATGCGGAAGGCAGTGACTTGTGGGTTGTTCTCTGGTGTGAAGATTGGGGTAGGGGGACCAGATATTTCTTTGCTACAGTTTGCGGATGACACATTGATTATGGGAGAGGCTTCGGTGCATAATTTGTGGACTTTGAAAGCAGTATTGTGTAGCTTTGAATTAATGTCAGGTATGAAAATTAACTTTCATAAATCTTTTGTATTGGGGATTAACACTGGTGATGACTTTGAAAACTTGGCTGCGGAGTTCCTACATTGTAAGATTGGTAGTTTTCCATTAAAGTATCTCGGGTTACAGTTAGGTGTTAACACGAGAAAGCCTAGTGCATGGAAGGGTGTGTTAGAGTCTCTTAAAAAGCGGTTAGCGTCATGGAAGCATAAGTATTTATCGATTGGAGATAGGGTGACTTTGATTAATGTTGTTCTTAATTCTATGCCACTGCACTCGTTATCCTTTTTTAAGGTGCCGAAGTCGGTAATAAAGGAGATTGTCACTATTCAACGAAATTTTTTATAGAAGGGTGTTAAGAATGGATCTAAAATTCCCTGGGTGAAATGAAAAATGGTATTAGATCGCGGAAGAATTGTGGCTTGGGCATTAGGAATGTGCAGTGGTTTAATTGGGCGCTTCTTGGTAAATGGTTGTGGCGAGGTGTTAACTATTCTAGTTCATTGTGGGTGCGGGTGTTAGAATCTAGATATGGAAGATTAACTTCTTCTATTCAGCGTTCATCAGTTCACAACAGATGTTCTTTGTAGTGACGTGATTTGCTGGAGGTTATTCATCAAGGGAATTCATGGCTGGATGAGAAGTTTGATAGAAGTGTGGGTGCAGCTTTACATACTCTTTTTTGGAGAGATAAGTGGGTAGGCGGGGTGCGATTGTGTGAAGCATTTTCGCAATTATTTGTGGTGGCAAGGAATGTTGAATCATGTGTATTGGAGAATGGTTTTCATGATGGCACTAGGTGTGTTTGGGATGTTAGTTGGCGAAGAGGACTCTTTCAATATGAGATCTTGAGCTTTAATCTTTTGTTGGAGCTTGTGGATGGAGTTTCTATTAAGTTACTACAAGAAGATAAATGGGTATGGAGAGCAGATTCTTCAGGTTGTTATTCAGTGAAATCTGCGTATTCATGGCTATTTGAACCTTTTGGTGGTCCTAATAGTGTAAATCAGTGTACGGTAGATGCCTTGCAAAGGCTATGGAGAGGGAATGTCCCTCTTAAGTGTCTAGTTTTTTTCTTAGCAATTGTTGTTGAATGCACTTCCTTGTAAAGGTTTACTAATTGATCGTGGTTTTTAAATTGATGATACAACTTGTTGCTTCTGTCATGATTTGGAGGAACTTTGAACTCATTTATTTTTAACGTACTCAGTTTCATCTCAAATCTGGTACTTTACTGCGCGTTAGCTTAGATTCTCACTAGTTTTGCCTTCAGATTTATCGATTCACTTGCTTTCTTGGATTGGTGTTGGCTGTAGTAAAAGAGAAGGAACATGCTTATTAATTGTTTGGATAAGTACAGTGTGGTCTTTGTGGTTGCATAGAAATAGAATTGTATTTTTCAATGGTGTTTTGGATGAGAGGGAGGTCATAGATTCTATTATTCTGAGATCCTTAAAATGACTATCACTTGTTAGTAAGGAAGAAACTATTATGTTAGCTGATTGATATTTGAACACACAAAATTGAATCTGTCTTAATTTTGTATAAGTATATTTTTGCTTTTTATTTCTCTGAATAAGTAATTTTTTTGTGTATATGGGTTTAGAGTTTCCCTTGAACTCTTTTTAATAATATTTGTTTTGTCTATAAAAAAAATAAGAAACCGATAATCAGTAAGTGTGAAATGAAGAAACGAGAAAAGAGAAGTTGTCATGAAGAAAAAGATAAAACTATGAATAAATTATTTCACAGCCGCCCACTCTCACAAACCAGCGCAATAAGTTTAAATAAAAGCTATTTTTATTTTAAAAAATTAATGAAATTTTAATAAAATTATTTATTATTATTATTAATTTTTTATTACTATTATTATTTTAATTTTAACTTAAAATGTATTCTAAAACTATATCTTTTTTACACACGTCAATAAAAAATCATGTGTCTCGATTTTAGTAATTTTTTTATAATTTATTTCTTAATTATAAAAAATTATTTAAAATTTACTCATACTTAACAAAATAAAATATTCATCATTTATTAGGAAAATTGACTATTCTCTATAACTTTTATTTATAATTTTTATTTAAATTTAAAAATTATATGTGCAATATTTATGCAATATAAATTTTTTTATTTGTACCATTTTAAAAATAAAATAATGATTTTTTTAACATAATCCTGAATATTATTAAATTAAAATAAATTTTAACAAAAATTAAAGAATATTTCATAATTTCTTAAAATTTAATTAGTTTAACAAATTTTAAAAATAGTAAATATCTGTATTATGAATACGAAATAATTTATTTCTTAAATAAAATTAATTTAAAGAGATAAAATTTTAAAATTCAAACATGATTTATAAAAAAATTTAAATGAAAATTAAATTAAAAAATTAATGTTAAATGCAGAATAAATTATATAATAAACGAGATAAAGAAAAGTTTGTAAGAATATATTTATTTAAAATCATTTTAATTAAAATAAATATTATATTAATATATATAAAAATAAATGTATATAATACTTTTTACATAAAAACTGAAAAAATAGATTAAAATAAATAATATAATAATAAAAATTTTAAAATAATATATTTTTTAAGAAATTAAATAAAGATATACATGCGGCGGAATCGTCGGAAAAGTACACGGAAAGACTGACAATGGGCCCGCGAAAGTCACCAAAAATTGCCGCTTTCGGGCATTGGTTCAGAGCCGCTGGCTCTGAGCAACTTCAAATGGCATTTATTTTTAAATGTTTTTTTTAATAACAGTTTATATATCTTTAAAGTATGTAATTAAAATAAATTATATTATTATTATTATTATTATTTGTTATATTGTAAAATATTTTTATTTAAATAATCTTGAGAGCTGTATATAAAATTACTACAATATGATAAAATTATATTAAAAATATTATTTTAATTAAATAAAAAATTATAAGTTTCAAACTTAAAGTGTGATTTAGAACTTAATCTAAGTTTCATTTTATACAAAATGTTAAGATTTATTGTGTTTAAATTAAAAATTAAAAATATTTATAGGATACTTGTTTTATATTATTCAATAATATGACAATATTTAGAATTTTAAAAAATAACAAAAGATGTTTTTTTAAATTATAATTAAAAAAATTGCCATTGTTAATTAAAAAAATTATATGATGATTACATTAATATGACAGTAAATACTCTAAATCACTTAATTAAATAAACTGGTAACTAAGAGATAATGCAATGTTAGTTAGAAGACAGTTTAACCTCAGTAATGATAGTTAAGGCTTAAAATCTGAAATTGTTTTGTAGGCTGAATAGCCGTTGTATAGGTGATTGCAGAAACAATTAAGATGAGAATGCTAACAATGAGGAAAACAAAAAAGGAGTGAGCTGAAGGGTGTGGCCTGCAGTATGCAGTTGGCAACAGTGGTCTAAAGAGAAGAGAAAGGATCCTAATTCCACTCCACGTTGAATCCTAAATCCCTCCCACAAGGACACGTCTTGTCCCTCCTTCAGGTGTTGCTAATTTATGTCACGCCCCTTCAACACAGTCAAAGGTCCAAAAAATGTGAGAGAAAGAAAGCTGCTACATCCCTTCTCCCTCTCCCTCTTTGCAAAGCGTCAAACACAATTGCTGCGTGTAAGCCAAGCCATGCACCCAATTAACCTTTCACACTATTTACTGTTTCCTACCGTGTCTTCCCCTCCTCTTTCCATGTGGTCACCTTTCTCCACCTCCTTTATCCCTTTATAACACTCACTCACACAGACACCCATTCACACACTCTCTTCTCTTCTCTTCTCTCCAGCTGCAATGAAGAACCCTGTGGTTGAGAGATTCTCCGAATTTTACGAGAAGTGGATTTGGAAGCTGGAAGAGATTCTTCACCAGCTTCTAGAGGTGTCCAAGCAGAGAAACCATGTGGTGAAGACTGAGCAAGAGTTGCAAGCACTGGTCTCCAAAGTCACCTCCCATTTGAAGGAATACTACACTGTGAAATGGGCTGCCGCACATGAAGACGTTCTTGTCTTCTTCTCTCCCGTTTGGTTGAGCCCTTTGGAGAATGCTTACCTCTGGATCACAGGGTGGAAGCCCTCCATTGTGTTCAGGCTTCTTGAGACTCTCAAGAAGCCAAGAGAGGAGTGCAACGTATTTGACATGAATGAGGAGCAGCAAAGGAAGACGGAGGAGCTCAGAATGAGGATAAGGATGGAGGAGGAGAAGGTGGAGAGGGAGATGGAGAGACAGCAAGTGGCCATGGCTGATCGCAAGATTGTGGAGTTGGCTAAGCTTTATAGCCGAGTAAGGAATGGTGGTGCTGATGTTGTGGCGGCAAATGTTGATGGGGTTGTAGAAGTGGCCATGAAGGGTGTTCTTGCAGGTTTGGAGAGGGTCATGAAGGCTTCTGATTGTGTCAGACTCAAGACACTCAAAGGGGTGTTGGATCTGCTTACCCCAATGCAGTGCGTGGAGTTCCTTGCTGCAAATATAGCTATGCAGCTACGCCTCAGGCAGTGGGGGAAGAAGAGGGACCTCGCTGGGTCCACACTCAATGTGAATGACTACAAGTGATTCAAGTTGCTTGCCAAAATAAATAAATAAATAAATAAACTGTATACAACTTTAGGCTTAGTTAATTAAGTTGTTCAGTTTATGCAATGTAAGAAGAGGAAAGAAATGGTTGATGAATATATGATATGATTACTTTCCTGTAAAACAAAGAATGAAAGTTGCCTGCTTATAATTCAAAGTAGATAATGACAACAGTTAGCAATCAATCACTTTTTCCACCAATTCGGGTACATAAATCAAACGGTTATGTTGTATTTTATTGTAAATTATATGTATAGGTAAATATTTATTAAGCGTTAGTATGAAGTTTTTATAATACAAAATAAGCAATTTATGTTAGAATATTAAAATAAATGAACTGCATCTTAGGATGTTACAGAGTAGACATTCGTACATTGGTAATCATCAACAATCTCTCGAACCTTGACAGACAAGAAGGAGGGTGTCATGAGAGTATTTTGTATTGTTTATTTCAGAAATAATGATGGGGTGCACAAACAAACCGCAATGTCTTGAGGTGGTGCATGTTTCAGCGGCCACGCCAACGCGAACATGGACAATCAGAAACATGACAGAACAGAACCAGGTGTTCTTCAGTTTCAAGAGTTAAATTAAGTCCCTGCCATGCTTCGGCTTGTCTATAGGATTCACGAGAAAGTGACGTTTAAAAGAGTTTCCCCTGAAAAAATGATGTTAGCTTCTGATGTCATTCATGCTTTGTTCAGATAAAAAAGAAGGAAAATAAAATGGAAAGAAAAGATAATAAATAAATCTTTGTTTTTTTATTTAAAAAGAATATCATATGAAATACTTTTATATTTTTATTATAAAAGATAGAGAAGTAAGTAAATACATAGATAAATTTATTATTTTAATTCTTTTTCTTTTTCACTTTCGTTTTATAATAGGTTTTGTTGGATATAAATAAAGAGAAAAAATAAGAAAGAAAAGAGATATTATTTTTTTATTATTTGAATAAATTTTTTTATTATTGGAATAAATATAAATAAGAGAGAAAAGAAAAATAAGGGAAAGGGGCTTGTGTTTTGTTGTTTAGTTTTAGTTATTAAATAAATAACTATTTTTATAGCATAAAAATAATAAATATTTTTATATTGAAAACAATATAAAATTTATATTTTAATATTATAAAAAAATTATATCCTTTATTTATTCCATTTATTCCAAACCGTAAAGATAATTTTATTTTCTTTTCCTTTTGTTATATTTATCCATCAAATTAATATTTTTTATTGCATCTTTTATTTGTATTTTTCCTATCTTAGTTTTTTTTATTTGACATCATATACAAACGCATCGTTACTCTGCTATTTTGGATAATTTTGATAAAGAACAATGATTCTCTCACCACTTTACATGGTTTTGAGATGAATGGTAGGGAGACAAAACATAAACAAGGAAAAAATATGAAAAAAAACAAAATATATATAACAAGTGATATTTAAAAAATATTTTCTTTCATCAATCGTCCATATTTTTCAACTGTGAACTGAGCTTTTTATTTTCTCCAAGAAACATTAGCCTTTAACAATTCAATAAGACCTATATAATGTTGCATGTTCATTGGGACCGACATCCCAACATCAAGTTAGAATTTTGACATCCCCAACTTGAACAAAAATACAATCTACAACACCCCTCTTGCAAAACAACAAATAACACACTTTCATTGGGACGTGAATAGCTAAGGTATCAATGATGAAGACTTACAAAAGAACAAGGAAGATGAAGGAAGAAAAGAATTTTTGAGTAGCAAATTTCACAACTTCCACTGTGGGAGCCTGATAGAGGTTAGTGAGAGAGACTTTAACACACAGAAGAGAGTCATATAAAACTTAAGTTGCCTCCACTGACAATATTTCCAGTTCAGCCCACCATAGTGGAGAAAGTCTTGGGACAGCTTGATCTGGTGACACACCAATCACTTCCCTCAATTTTGTAGTTATGTCCCTCATTGTTGGTCTTAACTTTGGATCAGGTTGAATACAGTCTTTGATCACCTCACAGATCACATCAAGTTCATTGTCCTTGAAAGACTCCAAGGTGGGATCGATCATACAGCTGATACTTTTCTTGTCACTTAAGTACTCAGCAGCCTAAGAAGTTTATGACAATTTATTAAGTAAACAAATATATATACATATTATGAATTGCATTAAAACTAATATCACTAGGGAAATGTGATTCAAACTTACCCAGTTCACTAGGTTGCCTTCTTCAGAGGAAGGCAATTTCCCTGAGATGACTTCAAGCAACAATATTCCAAATTTATAGACATTGCTTTCAATATTTTCCTGAGTTGATAACTCAATTTTCTTTGAATCACCTCCACTTGTCTTAGCTGGTGTTACAATACTTCTAAAAGTAACCTCTGCAAGCTGAAAGAACAATGGAATGGAGAGGTTATTTGGTGGCTAACATATAACAAAAGCAAACAAGAAGATATAAGAGAAATATGTACCTTAGCTGCAAAGTCATCTGTTAGAAAGATCATATTCGAATTAAGGTCCCCATGAGCTATTGGTGGATTCAGATCATGGTGCATGTATTGAAGACAGTAAGCAGTGCCCATGATAATTCTTATCCTTTCACTCCAATCAAGACGTTCCATTTCCTCTACTGTAAAAAAGAAGCATATGTAATAATATAAATAACTTTGCCTTTAGTTCCAAGAACATAGATGAGCAAGAATACAACTAAAAGAGTATTACCATGCAGATGCTCAAATAGGTTTCCATTTGGAGCATACTCAAATACCAACATCCTTGTGAATGGTTCTTCTTCCTCACAGTAACCAATAAGATTAATAAAGTTTTTATGGTTTATGCGGGACAAAGTATCAATCTGAAGCACACAAGAGACAAAATTAGCAAAAGAAAAGTTCAAGAATTGAATCATTCTCAAAATTACATTGGGGATGTTAATGCAATGGTTTTTCTTTCTATTGACTGTAGAAGGATAAAACCTTTCTCCGATATTTCATTTCCATGCTCTTTGACCAATCTTGGGAAGAAGTAATGACGGTAGAAACAACAGCAATCTCGACTCCACTGGACAGTGTTCCTTTGTAGATGATGCATCCTTCAAAAGTAATAATGATATTGCTGAAATCCTCACAGGCTGTCTCTAGTTCGGCTCGATTCAACTTGGGGACACCTACATTCCATAAGAACACGCGACACTATTGGCACATTTGGAAATGGAAATTCATTAAACCTTAACATTGGCATCTTCCAAAATCCCCGCGTACACATGACAATTACTTTGGCAATTTAAATTAACACATGAAAATAGTTTACTCTTGTATATCCTAAACTCTCATAGGATTTTTTTAGCTTATTTTAATAGATTTCTTTGTATAGATTTTCAAAATAAACTTTTTTAGCTTATTCTAATAACTTCCATAGTCAAATTTATGGCATAACTCGTCATATAAAAAGAACTTATTGACTGAACACTTTAGTTGTGTTATATACCCAAACAAGAGCTAATAACTTAACATTTGTCTGCAGCTCAATGAAAAAGATCTGGTTTGTATTAACTTATTATTAGAACTAACTATATAGTACCTGTTATAAATGCTTTCTGCAACTGTCCACTTATTCCTGTCTTCCAAGGGGTAATTACTTTTGCAGCTCGTTTTCGCCAAATGCAAAGAAGAATTATGATAACAATGACCACCACAACTACAACAACAATAATAATTATATACTTCCACAACCTTCCAGAAGCACCATTAGATGAAGGGTGTTGACTTGTTTGTTTTGCATCAGAAGCATCATGAGGAGATTCAGGAGGTGAATGATCGGGTGCAGGTGGCTGATTCTGTTTCTTATTGGCATCTGGCACAGCTGGTAAGGCTCCACTACTCAGGGTAGTTGGAACAGTGCTGAACTCTATAGTTGGTCCACCAGTAAAAGGTGCAGCTGCAAGGTTACTGGACTGTTCAAGTAACCTACGACGTGAAGAATTGACAAGATTTTGCGCATTCTTGGCAATCTTTGGCTCATTGGAACCTACATGAAACAATAAATGTTTTGAATGTCAATCAGAAGCACAATGTTATCAGTTTCTCAATTTAGTTAAGGTTCTTCACTCACTGGGCAGAAGGTCGTAGTGATTCTCTTCATGCCCACTAAGGGCAGGCTTTTCTAGCTTGAATCTATAAAGATCAAACAATTTACTTGAGTTGAATATGATGAAAGAACAAAATATATGTGTATATTGAGGTTAAGATAGGGCCAAAAGTTATCTACACACAGTGGCAGCTCAAAGGCATTGAGGTATTTCATAAGTGCTTCTTTGATTGAAATTGTCAATGAATCTGATTTGATCCTTTGCTTGAATTTGCCTTGCCACACACTGCACATGCCGTCCATCAAAACACCAGAAAGTTACAAACTAAAAATAAAAATAATGCAACAATAGGAAATGAATATTATCCCATGGAATGAGATTGTTAGGTTCTGCAAAAGAGCAAGATTTATAAGAAACAACGGTTCTTATCTCTCAGTGACTTCCCTCTACTATACTGATATAGATGGAAGGAAACCATGCAATGGCCCTACTAAGGTCACTTGGTCAGGGAGAAAAAAAAATGAAGACATGCTTACCAGTGTCCAAACTTTCTATTGATGCGGGGAAATAAAGTTGTCAAACATGATGAACAATTTTCAACAACTAGAGATTCAGAAGGAAATCTAAATTTTCCTTGATCTTGAGAATCACTGCCTTCAATTTTATTGTCACAAAGCAACCTAAGGTAAAATAAAATTTCATTGAAGAGTACTAGAAATCTAATAAAACAGACACATAAAATATAGAGTTAACTCACAAGTGTTTTAGCTGTATCATCTTGCCAATTTCTTCTGGGATATTTCCTGACAATTTATTCTCTCTTAAGTCCAATAATTCTAGCTTGGTGAGATCTCCAAGTTCTTTGGGAATGGCACCAGAAAAGTTATTCTTGCATAACACACTAATTTAAAGAAACAGCGAGCTTATCCAAATCAGAAAAATAGTAAAATATTTAGTTAGATATATTTGACAAGGTTATTAACATCAATATGGTGTGATATCATATAAGGAACTAAACTAATTAAAGAGAGAGGCTACATAATCATCTGTCCAACAAAAACAAGTAACCTTCAGCGACTTCTTTTGTTTTCAAATTACATATCATCATGACAGTAACAATATAAACTAATCTAGGAGAGCAAAATAATTGTATTTTTTTAGAGTTGAAAACTCAGAAGATGTAGGTACATAAGTTTTTAGCATGTTTGGAGGAGAAAAAGAAATGTTATATGCAGGCTTGGAAAATGACATCACATAACAATATTGAAGAGGGAAGGTAAAATAGAGTAAAGAAAGAAAAAATGACCAATAAAAATTATTGCAACCAATCTGCACCAATCAAATGTGTTAAGTGCTAAACTGCGGCACTACATAGAGAGCATTCCACTTCCAGATGCCAGGAACTGAAGGCAAAGCATGATTAAGGACTAGGAAAATTATACAAGCACTAGAAAGACTTGCTTGCAAGTATCAAAATTTGGTAATTATAGGCTTATAGCCCAGTGGATCATGCAAAATCACTCCTTCATCATCTTGTTAAAGGGACTAATAATAGTGACAGTACATTCTGATTTTCTATTAGAACTAGTGTTTGGTCGACCAAAAAAAATTAGTTTCTTGACATTGACGGTAATCCATGTAAATTATGTAATCAGATTCACGCGGGGTATTCAATCTTTCTAAAAGTATTGCAGAGTCCAAAGCTGAACGATTTTTTCAGTTTAAATGAAGGTGATGGAAAGAATATCACATTATGAAAGGAAAATAGGAATGTGCCAGACAGAACAATGCATATCATGATTATTATCTGAACTTCAGAAGAAACATATGTCTGTACGCCATATCCATATATTATATCAGTTTTTCCGATGATAAGAAAATAATAATTTAAAGTTTTTATTAGAAATTACAGTATATCTTACGATATCAAGTGATTTTCAATAAAACCTTACTATACATGGCTTCTTAACGCGTCTTTAGACACGCGTTAGAAAAATTGATATTATATAGCTCTCAGATTATGTCATATTCATATTAGATGAATACCAATCATGGTTGGTTGGGAATTCAAGAATGAGTGCATTTTGGATCTCCCGGTTAATGACCCAGCAAGCATAAGATCTATTTTGATATCTAATGAAAAGAAAAACCATGAATAATAATAATAATAATAAAAAGTTACACAGGAATACTATGATTTCTTACACAGATTTTAGGTGATTAAGTTTCCCAAGATCAGGAGCAATTGTCCCTTCCAGAGATAGCCCGTTTAGCTCACTACAAGAACAGAAAGCCATAGGATTCAGCACAGGACATTAATTATAACAGGAAGCCCATTTAATTTAAACATCGAGAAAAAGAAGTTTTTGGCTTCCCTATAGGAAATAAGACTGCATCACAGAAATATTTTAATATAACAAAGGAATTACCAAAGGAACTTACAGCATTTGCACTTTCCCATCTACACAATGAACACCCAACCATTTGCAAGGGTCACAATCATTTGGAGTCCAATTTTCCAAAGCATGATAGGGATCGGAAGTTATTCTTGCCCGGAACTCCAACAAAGCCAATCCTGAATTTTCCATTCCAGGTGCAAAAAGAAGAAGAAAATCAAATTACAATACAATGCATTATAGGCTTTCCTATGAATGGAACGATAAAAGAGCAATCCATGAAAATCACCTTCATCATTAAGGGACCAGCACACTTGGATTTCCCAAACAAAGATCAAGCAAATAAAACTTCTAAGCCAGAATCCAAATGCGTCCCATCTCAATCCCATTTCTTTGTGAACCCAATGGCTATGTGACTGAGGCAGTACTTCTATTCCTTGATATCCAGGACGCTATTATATGATACAAAATAAAAAAATTGCCTGGTTTGTGCTGTACAGAAAACCTTCAATCTATTCGAACGAAGCAGAATAAACTCACTAACTAGTCAAAACTTAAATTTCTACGGAAAGCATGAAGATTGAAGGTTTTGGGGCTGATCAGGATCCCTCATTTTTTATAACGTTATCTCCTTGTTACAAGCTTCTGCTCAACAAAGACATAACCCGGCTCAAAATATCTTTTTCGGAATTGTCGTCAGAAATTGCTGGAGCTGAAAGAAATTGCATCCGTCAGAAAATTTAACAAAATGAATGAATTTCTTAAGAACCAATCAACCCCTTAACAACAAAAATATTTTTATATACATATAAATGGAATAACCCCATCAGCAAGCAAGCTTTTTGGTGTCAACATGAACAATTAAAAAGCAAAAAGGTGGGGTGTGGTTGTGGATTGGAAAGCATTAAGCTTTGATAGAGCGAGTGAATTACCATGCAGAAGGGACAAAAGGGTGCAAGAAAACAACTCTGGTTCTTGCAGTTATTTCTGCTTTTGCATGGGAATTAGGAAATGCAACGCTGGCTGGGAGGGTGATAGGCGGGGGGGTAATTTGAGACTCAGGCAAAAAGGCAGCAAAAGTTCAAAACAAATAAATATTCAAATCCTTAAATTTATTTTTATTTTTTTTCTCTTATTTTGATGGCTTTTCTTCTATTGCTGCCTTTTTCAGGATGATCTCAGAGGACCCTCTCTTCGACCATCTTCCTCGTGAGACAGACACAGACACTTTGTTTTTTTGTTTTTGTTTTTTTCTCTCTCTGGTTTCTCTCTCTTTTCCAGATGTTAGATTTTTCTTTGTTTCTCTCTCATTCCCCCTCTTCCCTCTCTCTCATCTCATCACCCCCACAACCAGCCTTGCCAACCAAAAATTTCCCGTTAGTTTTTGCTTTTTCTCACAATTTTATTATTATTATTATTTTTAATGTTTCCAAATTCTCTTCGAGGAGTTGTAGGTCCCATTGCCCCCCACTTCCGACAAACTAGGACACGCTTTTATTTGTTACTAGGTAAGTCTCCTTTATGGTTCGCGTGGCTCCACAACATCCGTTGCCTTGCTTATAAAACTGCAAGTTCCAGCTATTTTATGTTCCACGGTTTGGTAAGATTGTGTACGTGATTCCCACACCCCCCATCACATGCCTGCCACTCTCTTCTCTGCCCAAAGTAATACTTTATACATTTTCATATTTCAATCATATTTATCCATTTAATCGCTAAAAAGTCATTTGCTAACAGATAAATTTGTGAAATATTAAGATCGTTTTCATATATTATTGATATAAATAATATATTATATTGTTAATATGAACTTGTAATATTTATATATATAAGCAAGCTTCTATCTTCAATTGGTAAATTTGAATTTGAATTTTGACTACTATTTTATCCACCTCTTTATATATTTTTTTCTCTTCAATTATAATATAAATTATTCAGTTATCATATATATAAATATTAATAGTTAACAAAACAGATAATACACATGTACACGCTAACACAATTATACGACTTGTTTTATTTTTTTATTTCATTAATTTGAAAATCATTGCCTAATCTTTGCCCTGTAGATATCTGAGAAGGCATATAAATTAAGAGCCCCCCATTTGGAAAGTTTTGGGAGTGGCTGCTTTGCTGCCGTATGGCTCAGAAGTGTGCCACTTGGGTATCTCCAATTTAACTAACAGGCCCGCGCTATTTTTATATCATCTACAATCTTTTTATGCCTTATATTCTTATTTTATAACATCACTTCAAAATTCAAATCCCAATAAATACATCCTCACTTTATCTGCTTGAAAACATATTTATTTATTTATTTAAAGTTTATTAGTTTTTAATAATTTAAAAAACTATTTCATTCAAAAAGTTAAACCATATATTACTGTCAATTCTTACGGCACATGAATTATTAAGAATAACTAACTCTTTGATACATTTTTTAATATAATTCTAATTATTTTATTAAAAAATTTAAAAGTTATATTAGTTTTACTCTTTTTACTTTTAATTTAATATTGTTTTCTTTTACACAAAATTTTTAAATTTTTAATAAATTTTAACTAATAGTAAAAAATATATTAAAAATAATATATTCAAAAATATGCTGCTAACATTAAATTATGAATATCTAGAAAGTAATTTTATTTAAATAAAATATTATTGTAAATGATAAAATTATATTTCTAAATATTTTATATAATTAAATATCTAAGACTTAAGCTTGAGATTACTAATTAAACTATAATAACTCTGCATATATTAGTTAATCAACGCATTTGATAATAGTAAAAGTATGTTTATCCAAAAAGTGATATTGTATTTTTAATTTAAATTTAACTTATTTAATTATTATTATGTATGAGTTATTCAACGTAAAGAATTAAACTTAAAATTTATGTTTGATAAAAAACAAGATTTAATTAAAAATAGTATTTTCTAAAAAATATGTATGAATTGTTCCTATAGCATTTGTCAACGTCAAAACATTTCACTGCTAAGCATGACAATTAACTACTAAAAGATCCATTGATTAAGATTTTCTTTCTTTCTCTTTTTACTCACAAATAAAAACTACTTTTTCTTTAAAAATATTTCATGCACGTGTAACTTGTTTGGTAATGAATCAAACATATTAAAATTCCATAGCAATTCATTTCATATATAAATAGTCCCCTTTGTTAATTTGTTATGACAAATACAATTTAGCTTTGTTTTCAGGTTCTTAGATGCAAAATGGGCACTTGCGAAAGAATATGCAAATAAATATGATATAAGAACAAAATAGAATAAAGATAAAAGAATAATGATATAAAAATTATTTAACTTGGTAAAAACTTTTTCAATGTTCAAAAGGAAAAATTCACAGGATCTGGTCGAGAAAATATTTCTACTATGAAAATAGGATTACAATGATCTTTCTCTTAGATAATATCTCTCAATCTCACCCCACAGGATAAAATACAATATTTCTCTAGTATTTCACTAGAAAATCTCTCTAGTCTCTCACTAGGAATTCTCTAATCTCTCTATGGTTGTTGTAATTTTTGGTGTGTCTTCAACTCTTGCAAATGAACCTATTTATAGGCTCTCAAGAATGTAAGGTATTTAATTTAACCACTAACAACTATCTTCCTATTTTCAACCATCAATTAATTAAGACTACTAACTTTCAACCACCAACCATCTTCCTATTAATTAAGGAAGGAAACTTTCAACAAATCTCACTCTTCCTGACTTAATTTGGGTAAATCATCAGTCCTGCTCCATTGCAACAGTCTGTGAGCTTTCTGACTGGAACTGCTTTGGTCAACATGTCAAACCAGTTATCATCAGTATGAATCTTTTCTAGCTGTAATACATCATTTTCCAATGCATCTCGTATCCAATGATAACGAGTGTTAATGTGCCTTGTTTAGGAGTGAAATGTAGGATTCTTAGCTAGATAAATTGCACTTTGATTGTCACAATACAAAATATACCTTTCTTGAACATGACCTAATTCATGCAAGAAAGTTTTCAAATATTTCATCTCTTTGTCGGCTTCCGAGGTTGCAATACACTCTGCTTTAGTTGTTGATAATGCAACACATCTTTGTAACTTGGACTGCCAAGATATAGCTCCCCGTGCAAAAGTAGTTACATACCTTGATGTGGATTTTCTTGAATCTACATCTCCAGCCATCTCTCTGTCTATGTATCCTATCAGTACAAGTTTTTCATTACCAAAACATAAACATCTCTTGGTAGTTCCTTTCAGCTATCTTAATATCCACCTCACTGCATTCTAGTGTTCACTTCCAGGATTGGACAAGAACCGACTCACAACTCCAACTGCATGGGCAATATCTGGTCTTGTGCAAATCATGGCATATATTAGGCTTCCTACCACAAAAGAATAGAGCACTCTGCTCATCTCTATTTTTTCTTCATCACTGGTTGGACATTGTGCATTGCTTAGCTTGAAATGTCCAACAAGTGGAACGCTAACAGGTTTCGCGTTATCCATGTTGAATCTCTTGAGAATTTTCTCAATGTACTTCTCTTGTGACAACCATATCAACTTCTTAGAACAATCTCTGATTATCTTCATCCCAAGAATTTGTTTTGCAGAACCTAAGTCTTTCATAGCAAAAGACTTGCTTAAAGCATTCTTCAAACTATTAATCTTGGTCTTATCACGCCCTATGATCAATATGTCATCAACATATAAAAGCAGTATAAGAAAAGTTTTGTCTTCATACCTCTTGATGAACACACAATGGTCATCAATTATCTTCTTGAAACTGTGTTCGATCATGAAGGATTCAAACTTCTTGTACCATTATCTGGTTGCTTGTTTTAGACCGTACAAACTCTTTTTCAGACGACACACTAAGTGTTCATTGCCTGGTTCTTCATAGCCTTCAGGTTGCTCCATATAGATTTCTTTTTTGATGTCTCTATACGAAAATGCAGTCTTGACATCAAGTTGTTCAACTTCTAGGTCTAGACAAGTTTGACAAGTCTGTATTTAGGCCTTCTTTTACAGCCCATATATTCATATTTGATCTTTATTTTATTTTAGTTTTACACTAATTTATATATTAATTGTGCAGTTTGGTATAAAGAGGCCGCAAGTGGATTTTGGGCCCAAATTGATAGAAGATTAGAGCTTCGCAGCAGCCAGCACGCCCAGACCCTTCCAACAAGCACGGGGTACTTTGAGCCCATGCACAACCGTGCTCATCTGCGGGAAGCCCAATTATGAAGAGTTTGTAGGGTTTTCAAATTCTATAAAAGGGAAGATCTCACCACCGTTTTTACACAGTTTTTGACATCTTAGCTTTGGCTCTAGAATACATCTGATCTCGTTTCTCTTGCACGAGATCCTTGGCACATGCTTGGCGAGACTTGGAGTTTCGAGTGATCGTACTTAAAGATCAGGAACTCATCTCATTTTAGTTTGCTTTTGATTATGACTTTGTTTATGATTATTTTAGTTATTTTCTTTAACATGAGTAACTAAGTCCATAGCTAGGCCTATGAGAACTATTGTTCATGAATTTATGGAATTTTGATGTTTGAATCTAAATTTGATTTCCGTTTTGTGATTAGATTTTATCCTATTGCGCTCCTTTCTTAATCCTAATTAATTATATAGTCAGGCGACCGTACCTCGGTTAATTAATAGATCTATTTGGTAAAATAAGACAAAGGATTAGGTGGACCAAACCAATCTTTATCTTCTAATCGTTATTAAATTAACAAGTTCATAGGTTCCTTAAGCTTTCTTAAATTGATGTCTTACATGACCATTGGGGATGTTAATTTAGAGAAAAGAATATTAATATTGCATGACCATTGGATATTAATAGTATTCGTATGAATGATTGGTAATCACAAGGAAATTAAATTTAGAGTTAAATAGAAAAATAACATAAAGGATTGAATGAGAAAACCCATATGCCCTAGGTTCCTCTCCGATAAGTTTAACTAAGGCGTGCAATGTATTCCTTGCTTTTAGTTTTATAATTGATTTTATAAATTCTTGTTTTTAATTAATCTCGTATCTTTGAAGCTTAAACAATTAAATTAGGAAATTCTTAGTAATTAGAAATCAATCCTTGTGGGATGATATTTCGGTAACTTAATTTAAGAACCCTTTATTACTTTTCGATGGGTGCTTGTTTTAGACCGTACAAACTCTTTTTCAGACAACACACTAGGTGTTCATTGTCTGGTTCTTCATAGTCTTCAGGTTGCTCCATATATATTTCTTTTTTGATGTCTCCATGCGAAAATGCAGTTTTGACATCAAGTTGTTCAACTTCTAAGTCTAGACAAGTTGCCAGACTCAAAGCTACTC